GCCATCATTTTGAGTGGACCTGGGTATGAATCTGGGCTCTACCACTCACTCACTTTGTGTTCTCAAGAAAAGGAAACAAAGTTTCCTCAAAGAAAAGTGGTCCTACAAGCAACCCCCTTTCGTTAATATTAGGGAGAACGAGACGACACTGAACATAAAAGGGCTTAGGCCAGGTCCAGAGACATGGAACATTTGTAAGAAATAGCAGATGCTCATTTAAAGACAAGTGAGGAGAATCCCCTCTCCAACCATCTTCACTGGCTGGGGCACAGCACCATTATCCACTGGGATTTTCAGGTTCCCTGTGCACCTGCCCCAGGAGGGGGAAGACCTGGAATTGGCACCATCAGAGGAGAGACCAGCGCTGGGACCAAAACTGAGAACCTAGAGAGGGAAGCCAGGTCTAGACAGAGGGTCAGGAGGAAAAGAGAGCCCCCGGGGTTTGAGGGTGGGAGGTGAGTGCTCATCAGAAAAGCTCGAAGAGGAGTTCTTGTCACCTTTTTAGCATGTGGGAACTGGAAACACTTGTGCTTCAGTCCTGAGTCCTGGCTGTTTCTGTGGCCAGCACTGCTGTAGGCCAGGCCTGCCCAAAACACAGGCGGCTCCCTCCCCAAACACACTCTGAAAAGTCTCCTGCCTGGGCAGTGGGGGCTGCAGGGGTGGGTGGGACATGACAGGGTGGGTGGGAGGTCAGTGGCCCGTGTGGGAGCAGCAGGGTGAGGAGCGAGGGTTCACCATCCTGTGATGATGTGTCCTTGACATCGAGGAATCAGGGCAGTGGCGGGGGCGGCCCCACCAGCCCAGCAGTGACTGGCCCAGACACAGTGCCGGACACCACAGTCCCCGCTTCCCACAGCAGCTGTTTCCCGAGGACTTCCGGACGCACAGCTCCATGACAAGATTTTGGGAAAGAAAGTCAAGAGTGAGGGTGCTGGGCCCTAAGCAAAGCCTTTTGGGAAGAGGTAAACCCCCTCCACCATCCGATCCCAGGAGAGTCAGGGAGGAAGATCTGGGCCACGGACTTAATGTGGGAGGAGGTTGGGCGCGGTGGCTCATGCCTGTAATCCTAGCACTTTGGGAGGCCAAGGGGGGCGGATCCCGTGAGGACAGGAGTTTGAAACCAGCCTGGCCAACATGATGAAATCCTATTTCTACTAAAAATACAAAAAAAATTAGCTGGGCATGGTGGTGGGCGCCTGTAATCCCAGCTACTCGGGAGACTAAGGCAGGAGAATCTCTTGAACCTAAGAAGCAGAGGTTGCAGTGACCCAAGATCACACCACTGGTCTCTAGCCTGGGTGACTGAGCAAGACTATCTCAAAAAAAAAAAAAAAAAGAAGACATGTGGCAAGAAAGTACACACAGGAGAGCCCGTACCGGGCACGTCACTTACTGTGTTTTCTGCATTCCCAGCTGCTTAGCTCCTATTTGGGGTGTAACTAGGACTTTGGTGCTACCTGGTTTCGGAAGACGCCCGTCTTCCAGGAGACAGTTAAGTGGTGCTTTATAACTTTCATGGTGAAGCACAGCCAGGTTTCATTCTGATCTGTGGCTTTCAGTAGGTTTTTAAAGTGGAAGTAGAATATGTGTGGATACGTTGCCTCCATCGGGTTTCTGAAGGCACGAGGGAGAAACCCGCCAATGCAGAGATAACCCCCAGAGTCCTGGGGGCTGATGCCCGCTGAACACCACTCCCTGGACGGCCCTGGGCTCTGGGCCTCCCCCATCCCTCCACAGCCCTGAGAATGTCTGCTGCTTTCCCAGGCAGGAGACTGGGACAGAGAAAGAGGAGGGGATACTGGTAGGGCCAGCAGGGTCGCAGTGACCTCTCCCAGCTGGAACCCCAGCTCTGGGGCTACCAATGGGACACCCTCAACCTCCCAGTTTTTCTGCCACACATCACCCAACCCATTAGGAAAATGCAACAGAGAATAAAACTCTTCACCTTGAAACAACTGCTTGAACATTTCAGCTCAATTCCTTCCTCACATTTCACCTGTCCAGTAATGATGATTATTATTTTTACATTGGGATCACACCGAATTTCCAGGCCACGGCTACTCTTCATTTTTTTTTTTTCTAAGACAGAGTCTTACTGTGTCGCCCAGCCTGGAGTGCAATGGCATGATTTTGGCTCACTGCAGCCTGCGCCTCCCAGGTTCAACCAATTCTCCTGCCTCAGCCTCCAAAGTAGGTGGGATTACAGGCACCCACCACCACGCGTGGCTAATTTTTTGTATTTTCAGTAGACACGAGGTTTCACCATGCTGGTCAGGCAGGTCTTGAACTCCTGACCTCAAGTGATCCACCCACCTCAGCCTCCCAAAGTGCTAGGATTACAGGCGTGAGCCACCATGCCCAGCCTAAAATAAGAGCATTTCTCCTGATCATCATATTTTTTCCTACATTCCATGTTACACGGGTCATTCTAAAAGGCGAATGGTGCTCACGGAGGAGGAGCCTGTGTCTGGGGTCATGTGCATCCTCCTCTGTTCACAGTGGAGGCATCTGTGGAAGAAATGACTTATTTTCTGGTACAGAGACCATTCCCTCCCCTGCACCCTTCCTAAGACTTTGTATTAAAACAAAGTAAATCTCACAGAAATTCCATCAAACCGCCGAGAACACAATTCCACATTGCTCCAATTATCCTTTGGTTCAATTCTCCCAGTTCCAGAGTTCAGGAATGGTGGGAAACACACAGAGGGAGCACCCTCCCAAGGAGGGGAGCACCAGCCCGGCCATGGCTTTCAGGGGAGAGTCTCAGCAGGGGTCCTGGGCTGGGGCAGGTTGGGGAGGCGGCCCATTCAGAAGCAACAGTGGGGTGACCACACAGCAGGGCAAAGAGCCTGGCTGGGAGTGGGGGCGGCAGAGGAAGCAGAGGGCAGAGAGCCTAGGGCTGGGGCTGGGGCAGGGGGAGGCCAGGGCTGAGGCCCAGCAGGGCCATCAGGCAGGAAGGGGCAGCAGAGGCCCCGCGGGCAGAGCGGACAGTGGTCCCTGATCTGGGGCTTCACATGCAGCCTCCTTGGCAGGCTTGTCCTGGCCCTGATGTTAGTCCTGGGCTTGGCTCTATTTCTATCTTCCAGGGCCCTTGTTCAGGGAGGCACCTGCGCTGGCGAGTGACCTCCCAGGCCCATCAGTACCCAGGCTTTCCTCCATGCTGCCTTCCCTGCTGGATACGGAGGACTCCAAGAGACCTGGATCCTGGCTCAGAGATATCAGGGGGCGCGCCCCACCAGCAGCTATATGTGGTAGGGGGAGGGAAGTGAGGGCATGTCTGACTTTCCCCATGCCCTCACTCAAAGAAGGCACCACCACTGGAGGAGAGTAGTGGTGGGGATGGCCCTCAGATGTCCCCAGGTGAGGGGCAGGTGTCTGCCTCCCCCCATGCCCTCACACTCAAAGGCCACCACTGGAGGGAGGAATAGCGGGTGGGGATGGCCCTCAGATGTCCCCCCAGGATGCCACGTGTGCCGCCACACTGAGCTCCTTCCTTCCACATCTCCTGCCCAGAGTTGTTCCCTGGCAGGCTGAGTTCTTGCCTCCTCTTGCCCCCATGTCACAGAAGGGCAGCGGCTGGTGTCTCAGGCCACCCTGTCCTGCTGTTTGTTCCTCCAGTCCAAGACCCTGGTGCCTTGGAGGCAGAAGGGGCCTCTCACTCACAGGAGGGGCCCAGGAAAGCAGGGAGGAGGCGGTGTGGAGGGAGCACCAGGAGTTAAGGGAAGGCGGTGTGACCATGAGGGCAGGCAGTGGGTCAGGAGGGAGGGCAGGAGGGCCTGGCCAAGGGAGGCCTTAGGAGGATGAGCAGGAGGTGAGAGGAGAGAGACCATGAGGCCAGAGAGAGAGTCTCACCTGAGAATCTCCTTTAGCTTGTGGTGCAGGAATGCATAATTGTCATCGAATTTGTACCAAGGCATGAATGGCTGACCTCCATTGTACACACAGTTTTCCCAGCAGTATGCAAATTCTGAGATGAAGAGGCGGGACATAGTCAGGCTCTCCCCTGACCCTGGTCCTGCCCTCCCAGGCCTGCTCTCCTGGCTGTCAGTTGCGGTCAGTGCCGGCCCTGCCCCTGCAGGCTGCCCTGGGACACCCCCAGCCATGGCATTGCAGATCCATCCATCTCTCATGTGCTGTTCCTCCCGCTCACACTCCCTGACCCCTCCTCCTCTCTACCTTCATCGTCCGCCAGTCTTCACCACGAGCCCCTGCCTGGCGCAGCCTGCCGGCGCCCTGCGATAATCTGTTTCCCAGTAGTAGTAGTAGGCGGGCGGCGGGAGATGGTCAGGGTGACATTGGGGTACTCAGCCAGGAGTCGGCCCCACCGCCACACAGTCCGGGCAGGGGGTCCAGGATACAAACCAGGTGATCTGGAAGCGCTTGTGAGCAGGCAGCTGGTTGCCACAGAACCAAGAGAGGAAGCACATTTCTGCATGGTGCTCAGGCTTGGAATACATCTAGGAGAGAGCAGGGGCAGGAGGCGATCTGAGAGGGGAGCAGGAGGAGAGAGCAGGGTTGGAGCAGTTGGAGGAGGGGCTGGGACAGTCAGGATCTTGCCATTGAAGCTCCTTTCCTCCATCCCCCTGATTAGTTTGAGTGATTGTCTGCTCAGCTCATGTTCAGTGTTAATTGCTGTGGTAATGGCCTTAAGAGTGGCACCTACAAAGCGCTGAGGCTGTGGGACTGCCTTTGTGGGTGCCACTGCTGTGGTTATTCAAGGGTGATGTCAGCCCCTCTTTCTGTCCCTTGCCTTCTATCTGGAAGGGCAGGCGTGTCCAGACTAAACTCCTGCTTCCTCTTGTCCTCATGGCATGGAGCAGTACTGACCCGACATCCCAGGCCACTCATGTCTGGGGCATCCCCCTGAGCTTCTGGCAACAACCTTCACCCCCACATGACTGTGCAGCTCGCACGCTGAGGCAGGAGAATCACTTGAACCCGGCAGGTGGAGTTGAGTGAGCCATTGCCTCCAGCCCCAGACAGCAGGCAGGCTTGGTGTGAAAAAAAAAAAAGAAAAGAAAAGAAATCTGCAAGTGGTGAGGCATGATGACTCATGCTTGTAAACCCAGTGGGGACTGCACCTTTGTGGGTGCCACTGCTGTGGTTATTCAAGGGTGATGTCAGCCCCTCTTTCTGTCCCTTGCCTTCTATCTGGAAGGGCAGCGTGTCAGACTAAACTCCTGCTTCCTCTTGTCCTCATGGCATGGAGCAGTACTGACCCGACATCCCAGGCCACTCTGTCTGGAGCATCCCCTGAGCTTCTGGCAACAACCTTCACCCCCACATGACTGTGCAGCTCGCACGCTGAGGCAGGAGAATCACTTGAACCCGGCAGGTGGAAGTTGAGTGAGCCATTGCACTCCAGCCCCAGACAACAAGAGCGAAACTTGGTGTCAAAAAAAAAAAAAAAAGAAAAAAGAAAGAAAAGAAATCTGGGAAGTGGCCAGGCATGATGACTCATGCTTGTAAACCCAGCACTTTGGGAGGCCAAGGCAGGTGAATTCCCCGAGGTCAGGAATTCCCCAGCCTGGCCAACAAGGTGAAACTCTGTTTCTACTAAAAATAGAAAAAATTAACTGGGCGTGGTGGTGGGCTTCTGTAATCCCAGCTATTCAGGAGGCTGAGGCAGAAGAATCGCTTGAATCTAAGAAGTGGAGGTTGCAGTGAGCTGAGATTGTGCAATTGCACTCCAGCCTGGGCGCCAGAGCAAGACTCCATCTCAAAAAAAAAAAAAAAAAAAAAAAAAAGGTGGGAAAAAATACACAATTGAGAGCCCACCCCTGGGCATTTTACTTATTGTTGTGTTTTCTGCATTCCCAGCTGCTTAGGTCCTGCTGTAGCACAGGTTAAAAAGAAAAGAAGAACTAGTTTTCCTCTGCCTAGCCAGCTCACTCTAAGGACAGTTATAAGGTAACACTGCCTGAAAAGTCAAGGCCAAAGGAATGGGCTCCAGACACCACCCTCACACCCCTCCAGAGCAAGGTTGAAGAAAATAAAAAAAAATTTAAAAAAAGACAAATTCCTTTACTGTCTCTCCTTTCCAGAACCATTAATTATAACTATAGTTTACAAATGTCTGTATTTAGCCAGCTCCTGTTTTTCTTTAGACATAGCTTCTAGGCCACCAGGTATACAAGGCCACAAGTTATGCCAAGTCATCAGTTATGCTACACATTATGTGAACTGTCACTGTTTGATTAATTGCCTTTGTTCTGCTTCTGTAAATTTGCCTATAAATACCTCAATCTGTCTTTGTTAAGGGCTCAGCCTTTTTGGATGCGAGTCTACTGAGCCGGTGCACCTAAATAAATCCTCCGGTCTCACCCATATCAGTCTCTCCAGTCCTCTAATTCCTGCAACACTGCCTGTGATTTGATTGAAATTTGGGTTGTACCTGGCCTCGAAAGACCCCTGTGTCCCAAGGGAGCTTTGAGGGGTCCTTCCTTATTTTCACTTCGTAGCACAGCCAGGTGTAGCGCCGACCATAGAGGATGGGTTCATTTTCAAAGTGGTAGTAGAATGTGCGTTGATACATCCGCTCCATCGGATTTCTGAAGGCACAAGAGAGAAACCGGCCCATGCAGAGAGCCCTCCCTGGAGTCCTCGGGGCTCATGTCCACTGAACACAGCTCCTGGGATGGCCCTGGGCCTCCCCCACGCCTCCACAGCCCTGAGAATTTCTGCTGTCTTCCCAGGCAGGAAGACTGAGGGGAGAGGAAGAGGAGGGGATGCTGGCAGGGGCTCCAGGGCTGGGGCGATCTCTCCCAACTGGGGTGATCTCTCCCAGCTCGGGCCCAACTCTGGCCTTTTCAGGGGTACATTCCCCACTCTCCTAGTATTTCTGCCAACCCACTCCCCAACCCATTAGGAAAATGCAAAAGAGAATAAAACTCTTCACCCGTAAAAAAATAGCTTTTAACCTTTCAGCTCAATTCCTTCCTGATGTTTCACTTTGCATGTTAACATTATTTTAAAGTCATGGTAGAACTGAATTCTGAGGCCCAGGCCACTCTTCTAAGTGCTGCAAGGGGTGTGAGCTCATGTGATGCTGCCCTAGGCTGGCAGGGGCCATTCCCATTTTACAGAGGAGGTGCCAGAGGCACAGAGAGGCAGGGTAACCTGCCCAGGCCACAGAGCTGTGGACAGATGGAGGTGGGGCCCCTTTCCAGGCCACCCTGTCCAGCCTCTGCCTCTGCATCACAGGCCCTGCAGGGGAAAGCTGGTGAGGACTGGGCTCTCTTTTCACTAAATTTTAAAAGAGTATTTCTCCTGATTATTGCATTTTTTTCTCACATTCCATGTTACTGGTCATGTTCTTTTTTTTTTTTTTTTTTTTTTCCTTGAGATGAAGTCTCACTCTGTCACCCAGGCTGGAGTGCAGTGACGAGATCTTAGCTCACTGCAACCTCCGCCTCCCGGGTTCAAGTGATTCTCCTGCCTCAACTTCCTGAGTATCTGAGACTACAGATGCGCCACCATGCCTGGCTAATTTTCGTATTTTTTTTAGTAGAGATAGGGTTTTACCGTATTGGCCAGGTTGGTCTCAAACTCCTGACCTCATGATCCACCCACCTTGGCCTACCAAAGTGTTGGGATTACATGTGTGAGCCACCGCGCTGGGCCACTGGTCATGTTCTAGAAGATGAAGAGTGACCTTGGAGTGGAACCTGTCTGGGGACATCTGCTCACCATGGAGTCATCCTTGGATGACATGATTTATCATGTGCTTCAGAGACCATTCCTGCCCCCACACCCTCTCCTAAGACTTTGTATTTAAGCAAAGTAAATCTTACAGAAATTTCATCAAAGTGCTGAGGACAAAATGCCTGATTGCTCCAATCATCCTTTGGTTCAATTCTCCCAGTTCCTGAGCTCAGGAATGGTGGGAAGCACACAGAGGGAGCACCCTCCCAGGGCGGGGAGCACCAACCTGGCCATGACTTTAAGGGAGAATCTCAGCAGGGGGCCTGGGCTGGTGCAGGTGGGGGAGGCGGCACATTCAGAAGCAGCTGTAGGGCGACCACACAGCAGGGCAAAGAGCCTGGCTGGGATTTAGGTAGCAGGGAAGCCAGAGGGGAGGGAGCCCAGGGCTGGGGCAGGGGCAGGGGGAGGCCAGGGTTGAGGCCCAGCAGGACCACCAGGCAGGAAGGGGCAGGAGGGGCCCAGGGGACACAGAGGGCAGCAGTACCTGATCTGTGGATTCATGTTCAGCCTCTTAGATATGCTTGTCCCAGTCCCGCTCTTTTTTTGAAGCGCGGCAGCCTCTTAGATATGCTTCTCCCAATCCCGCTCTTTTTTTGAAGCGTGGTGGTTTCACTTCCTGCTTACAGAGTCCCTGCAGTTGGGCAGCCCTCCTTAAAGTGACCTCCCAGGGCCTTGTGTGTCATGGCCCCTCCCCATTCCTGCTCAGGCATTGGTGTAGGAGGCCCTGGGGTGGTTTATGTTTCTCTGGCTCTGGCTCTTTCTCTGGTTTTCCCTGGGCCCCTCCCGCTGGCAGAGGAACCTCCAATAAAGACAGGCTGCTCTGTCTTTATCTGTCTTGGGCAGGACCCAAAGGAATTGCAAAGAGAAAGAGAAAGGCATTGCAGCCAGAGCCCGGGAGGCGGGTCCAGACCAGGCTGAGAGAGGGGCAGGTGCCCCCTTGCCTGGTGGATGGGCAGGCTGGAGCCCCCTCCATACTACCCGGTCCCCAGCCCTAATGTGTGCCCAGAGCTTTGAGCAGCACCTCCCTATTGAGCGAGGGGAGGTTTGGAGACTCCAGTGGGGAAGGAAGTGTGGACTCCGCACAGTACAAGTGAAGGCTTAGGTGTTCCTCGAGTTCCCAGCTGTGTGCTGGGTCCGTCGTATGAATTCCCTCTTCCAACCTCCCAGCTTCCAGAAGGTTGGGGGCAGGTCAGCGCCTCAGAGGGACTGCGATGTCTGCGACACCTAGGAGTGGAGGAGGGTGTCTACAAACAGGCTCGCTGCCCACAGGGACCTCTCAAGGGGTTCCGTGTGGACCAAGAAGATGGGAAACAATTACACACACAGCCTTCTGCTTACTTAAGTCCATCTAAGCGTATTTTGGAGGAATGAATGTACGTTGAAATAATCTTTCTAAATAGATTCCTTTAAGGGGAGTTTGTTCCAGTTGGAGAAGTTGTGCTCTCTGTAGAGGCTCTGAACTCCTCTGGCTGCCACCCAAAGGCAGATAGGGAGGAGGATGCGTGGGTGGGAGGGGGTGCAGCAGCGCCCCTACCTGCACAGAAGCTTGTCCTACCTCTGCACAAAGCGGACTCCTAGTGGTTGTTTTTGGAAGGTGAAGTTTTCTTTTCTTTCTTTTTTTTATAAATCTTTTAATTTAAAAGTCAGTTTTACTGTCAAAAATGCAAACTTAGGGAGGGCAGAAAGATCACACACAGAGCTGCCACTTCACACCTGGAGGGTTGCTCGGTGGCCGTCCAGAGGCGCTCCTCACTTCCCAGACGGTGTGGGGGCTGGGCAGAGACGCTCCTCACTTCCCAGACGGTGTGGGGGCTGGGCAGAGACGCTCCTCACTTCCCTGAGGGTGCGGCGGCGGGCAGAGGCGCTCCTCTTTTCCCAGATGGTGCGGCGGTGGGCAGAGGCGCTCCTCTGGAAGGTGAAGTTTTCTGTTGCCATCAGAAAGAGATGGACAAAGGATAAGACCATTGGTGGAAAATGAACAGTTCCATTTATCAGAAACATACTTTGTAGGAGAAAATGGAATAACCCTAGACCAGGGAGGCATCCTCAAACCCAGCTGTAAGGCGGCAGTTAAGGCACAGTGGGGAAGGGACACCAACTTTGCAGTCAGGCAACTCTGAGATTCGCCCCTTCCTTACTGTGTGACCTTGAGTGGTTTTCTTAATGTCTCCAGGCCTCTAACTGCAGGCGTGAGCCACTTGCCCAACCCATTTTATTTTTTCAAAAACGTTTTCAGGCCATGTGTGGTGTCTCGTGCCAGTAATCCCAGCACTGTGGGAGGCCGAGGCAGACGGATGACTTGAGGTCAGGAGTTCGAGACCAGCCTGGGCAAGGTGCTGAAACCCCATCTCTACAAAAACAAAAACAAAACAAATTAGCCAGATGTGGTGGTGCACACCTGTAATTCCCGATACTAGGGAGGTTGAGTGGGGAGGATCACTTGAGCCATGACTGCATCGCTGCACACCAGCCTGGGCGACAGAGTGAGACCATGTCTCAAAAAAAAGAAAAAAGAAAAAGAAAAACCTTTTTCCACCTGTGTAATTTTATTTGAAGAAGGTTATATATGGCTGACTTCTGTGGCTCATACCTGTAATACCAGCACTTTGGGAGGTTGAGGCAGGCAGATCACCTGAGGTCAGGAGATCGAGACCAGCCTGACCAACATGGTGAAAACCTGTCACAACTAAACAAAAACAAAAACAAAAACAAAAACAAAATTAGCCAGGCATGGTGGCACACACCTGTAGTCGCAACTACCTGGGAGGCAGAGGCAGGAGAATAGCTGGAATCCAGGAAGTGGACGTTGCAGTGAGCCAAGATCTCATCACTGTACTCCAGCCTAGGCAACAGAGCAAGACTCCATCTCAAAAAGTTAAAAAATAGGCTGGGCTCAGTGACTCACATCTGTAATTCCAGAACTTTGGAAGGCCAAGGCAGGTGGATCTCCTAAGGTCAGGAGCTCGAGACCATCCTGACCAACATGGAGAAACTCCATCTCTATTAAAAAAGAATGCAAAATTAGCCAGCTGTGGTGGTGCATGCCTGTAATCCCAGCTACTCGGGAGGCTGAGGCAGGAGAATCACTTGAACCCGGGAGACAGAGGTTGCAGTGAGCCCAGATCGTGCCATTGCACTCAAGCCCGGGCAACAAGAATGAAACACCATCTCAAAATAACATAAAATAAAATAACAAAAATAAATATAAAACAGAAGGTTATATATATGGGATCTTTAGTATATGATTATATGGAATATATATCTAGAATATATATGGGACCTTTTGATATGATTTCTTTTGATATATATAGAATCATCAGTATATGATTAGATATGGAATGTATGTATGGAATCATTCGTGATTGACGTTTTTCACTCAGCATAATATCCTTGAGGTTCATCTGAATTGTTGCTGGTTTCCACAGGTTGTTTGTTTCCATTGCAGGGCATGATTCATGGCATGGATGTACCACAGCAGGTTGAACCATTTGCCCACTGGACGTTTAGATTGGTTGCTGTTTTTGGCTATTGTGAACACAGCCGCTATAAACACAGGTTTTTGTTTTTGTTTTTAAAATGTGAACGTAAGTTTTCATTTCTCCAGAATAAATGCCCAATAGTGCAATTGCTGAACTGTATGTTAAGTACATGTTTAGTTTTATAAGAAACTATTTGGCCAGGCGTGGTGGCTCACACCTGTAATCAGTGCTCCTAAAGCACTTTAGGAGGCTGAGGTGGGCGGATCATGAGTCAAGAGATAGAGACCATCCTGGTCAACATGATGAAACCCTGTCTGTACTAAAAATACAAAAATTAGCTGGGCATGGTGGTGCGCACCTGTAGTCCCAGCTACTTAGGAGGCTGAGGCAGGAGAATCGCTTGAACCCAGGAGGCGGAGGTTGCAATGAGCTGAGATCATGCCACTACATTGCAGCCTAGGCGACAGAGTGAGAAACTATCTGGAAAAAAAGAAAAATAAAATAAAATAAAATAAAATAAAATAAAGAAAGAAACTGTTAAATTAAATTAGAGATTAGCTGTACTATTTTATATTCTCACCAGCAATGTATAAATGATCCAGTTTCTCCAGCATTTGGCGCTGCCACTGTGTTTTATTTTAGCCATTGATAAGTCTGTGGTAACGTTCTGATAGGTCTGTGATAATATTGTGGTTTTAATGTTCACTTCCCTAATGGCTAATGATGTCATATGTCTTTTTCATGTGCTTGTCATCTACGTATTGCTTTGGTAAAAACTTTGCTCCTGGTTTTCTATTTTTTCAATTTTAAAAATATTGTGGTAAATTATATATAACATAAACTCTACCATCTAGACCATTTTTAAGCACAGAGTTAAGCGGTATTAAACATATTAAACGTATTTGTAATGTTGTGCAACCACCACCACCATCCTTTTCCACAGCTCTTCTTTTTTTTTTTTTCTTTTTCTTTTTCTTTTCTTTTCTTTTTTCTTTTTTTTTTTTTTTTTTTTTTTGAGACAGAGTCTCACTCTGTTGCCCAGGCTGGAGTGCAGTGGCACAATCACAGCTCACTACAACCTCCACCTCCCGGGTTCAAGCAATTCTCCTGCCTCAGCCTCCCAAGTAGATGGGATTAGAGGCGCGCACTACCACACCCAGTCAATTTTTGTATTTTTAGTTTAGACAGGGTTTCACCATGTTGACCAAGCTGGTCTTGAACTCCTGACTTCAGATGATCCACCTACCTCAGCCTCCCAAAGTGCTGGGATTACAGACGTGAGCTGCTGCGCCAAGCCGGCTCTTTTTATGTTGTAAGACTGAAACTCTGTACCCGTTAAACGCAAACTCCTCATTCCCTTCTCCCCATTCCCTCCTCCCCATTCCCTCCTTCCCATTCTCTCCTCTGCCAGCCACTGGCAACCACCATGCTACTTTCTGTCTTTAACATTTCGAATATTCTCTTTTTCTGTTTTTTGTTTGTTTGTTTATTTGTTTGTTTTGAGATGAAGCCTCGCTCTGTCACCCAGGCTGGAGTGCAGTGGCACAATCTCGGCTCACTGCAACCTCTGCCTCCCGGGTTCAAGCGATTCTTCATGCCTTAGCCTCCCAAGTAGCTGGGATTACAGGCATATCCCAACATGCCTGGCTAATTTTTGTATTTTCAGTAGAAACATGGTTTCGGCATGTTGGTCAGGCTGATCTTGAAGTCCTGACCCTGACGGGTGAGGTGGCTCCCGCCTGTAATCTCAGCAATTTGGAAGGCCGAGGCGGATGGATCACGAGGTCAGGAGTTCGAGACCAGCCTGGCCAACATGGTGAAACTTTGTCTCTATTAAAAATACAAAAATTGGGCAGGGATGGTGGCTCACCCTTGTAATCCCAGCACTTTGGGAGGCTGAGGTGGGAGAATTACGAGGTCAAGAGATTGAGACCATCCTGGCCAACATGGTGACACCCCGTCTCTACTAAAAACACACCCAAAACATGGCCGGAGGTGGTGGCGGGCGCTTGTAATCTCAGCTACTCAGGAGGCTGAGGCAGAAGAATCATTGGAACCCAGGAGGCAGAGGTTGCAATAAGCCGAGATCATGCCACTGCACTCCAGCTTGGGCAACAGAGCAAGACTCTGTCAAAAAAAAAAATATATTAGCTGGGCATGGTAGTGGGCCCCTATAATCCCAGCC